CCCTCCCGACACCGCATGTGCACAACTTGCCTGGGTACAGGCACTTCACCCAAGATTGAAAAGCTGCAGTGCCTGAAATAAACACAGCCTTCCAGCCTTGCAGAAGGCAAGGTGCTGCAGAGGGGGAGAGAGTGCCAGCTACCCACTCTGGAAGAGTGGAGAGTTGACAATGACTGACTGGTATTTTTTCTCTGAGTGTAGTTGCAAGAACTGTGTAGATGCAGCCTGTGTGAATGTGAATCCTGTGTTTTGTTCCCTGCAGTGGGGAGTCTGCACTGGGGAAAGAGCTGACAATACTTTCACAGTGTTGCTGACGATTACATGGGGATATATATTGGGGGGGGGAGGGGGGGGAGAAATCAATTTTATGTAAGTCTAGAAGTTTCTGCAAGGTGTTGAGATGTGACATGTAGAGCTGGCTTCCCTGGCCTAGGCAGGCGTAGGAGAGGCCTGAGATGCTGTCGTGATTTCTTGAGCTGTTGCACAAGGAGCAGGTACAGTGGCAGCTGCAGAAAGCAGAATCCTGGCAGGTGGGGTGTGTTTGCAGTGTAGGCTATGCCAAGGTTACGAGTGTGGCTTAGTCTGAGCAATGCGTTGTGGTTAGGTGCTGTGGTTAGAGCAGGCAATCGCTGAGTGTTGTGCATAATGTATAACAGACAGGGCTGTGGTATGCAGATAAAAAAGGCATAGGATGGATTTTGCACTAAAATATGCTACTCTGAGTGTGAAGAAAGGATGAAGCTAGTCAGCTAGGAAAGCCCTAGCTTTGACCTATATGCCAAAAGCTAGTCTGCACCAGTTGGCCTGGATGAGAATCACAAAAAATGGGAGCTGGGTTCTCATAAATCTCCATGAGCTGCTCCTTCATGCCACCAGTAATTTGCTTTTTGTCTGTGTAGGAATCCTTCCTAGTTGCAGTTATCTTGAGTAGTGGAAAAGTACAAGGTTTTACAGATTATTTCCTGTATAAGGTTTTCCTTCTGAGTAAGGTGTCCCTAAAAATCCACCTGCAGTTTCTCCTATGGGTAGTGAGTGCCAGACTTTTCCTCTGTTGATATCCTTTCTCCCTACTCCCCAGCTCTGAGCAGCTATCTAAAGCTTCAGCCATCAACTTTCCCAAGTATTTACTATCTCTGAGGTGGCCAGGGCTGTTTGCATGAAAGGCGCAGGCTCTTCACAATGGTTATTTGGAGACTTTGTGCTTCTGTATGCAACCCCACTTTTTAAATTTCCACATTGAAGTATCATGGGAATATTTATCCCAAACTTAAAAGGGAAGCCTACTTACTAGTAACTGAAGTTCTTCAAGCTCAGTTCCTCACACAAGTATTCCCCTCTTTACCTCTTTCCTTCTGATGTTACGGGTCACCTGGGGCTCTGGCTTGAGAGGCAACTGAATTAGGATGGTCCAGTTGCAGTTCTCTGCTGAAAGGAAGGCAGGGTGAGTGTGCCCCACTACAGTCAAAGTGAAAAGATTTCTCCACTGTCTGCTTACACAAACCTGTGGTAGAAATACCTGGATTCCACACTGGGAGGAACTCTGGTTACTAGTAAATACCTTCATAGCATCACAGAATGGTTTGGGTTGGAAGGGACCTTAATCTGGTTTCAACCCCACTGCCATAGGCAAGGACACATGCCACTAAACCAGGTTGCTCAAAGCCCCATCCAATCTAACCTTGAACACTGCCAGGGATGGGGCAGCCACAGCTCCTCTGGACAGCCTGTTCCAGAGCCTTACCCTCTCATAGAATTTCCTTCTTATAGCTAATCTAAATCTGCCTTCTTTCAGTTTAACACCATTCTCCCTTGTCCTATCCATACATGCCCTTGTAAAAAGTCCCTCTCAAGATTTCTTGTAGGCCCCCTTTAGGTAGGTCTTCCTTGAAACCCCTTTCGTTATCTTTACATCAAGTCTGAGTATAAATTGTTCTCCCAACCTCCTTTCTTTTTTCCTGTTATTTTCCTGCTAATATTCTGTACCTATATTCCTTTTAATCAAATAAAACAAACCAATCTATAATGCCTCCAAGACTAATCTTTGCATATTATTTATTGCATGAATGATTTTCTTTAGCATTCTGAATGGTCTTCCTGGATTTCCTGGTTATGGTCTTATTGGTTTAAGATGTGATTATACTGCAGACTGCCATTTGCTCATCAGAATTATTTTATGTGAGTAGATTAGTATAGTTCTACAAAAATTCAGATTTGTAAACTCATTTTCCTATTTTAGTGTAAAAAAGCATATGTTCTAAAGCCATATGTTCTAAAGTCATTCCCAGAATCTTGGCCAAAACCATCTCTTAACCATGTAAGTAATCCTGTACCTTTTCTTACAAGAAGTGCATGAATTTTTTGAAGAATAATTATTGGTTAAAATAATGAATGGCTAATAATCATAGGAAAAAAACAAAGTACGTCTTATGAGGCCCAGTAAGGTATATTTGAAGAAGATAAACTTCTGAAAATGCTTAAAAGTGGGCCATCACATTGACTGCAATATGAAATACACATTTATTAAGTGAAAACTGCATTTCCATCAGATGTTGCATCATCTAGTCCTAGAGGTAATTGCTAAAACTTTGGTGCCATAAACACATGCCTAGTTGGGTGCGGGCTTCTGAGCAAAACCCATCCATTTAAGTGTTCACACAAATATGGGAATGATAATTATAGTAAATAAATGATCAAAAATAGCAGAAGAATGTTTCTGGTTTATGCCTCTGACCACATTTGTGTATGATCAGTATCACGTTTCTGCTGATTGTCAGACTTCCTTTCTCTACTGCAGTGTTGTCAGCCATATGATTCATGAGTCACATCTAGTCCGTTGTATACAGAGCTCATTGAATATTCAGATCCTATGGAGTCTAAATTATCAAGTAAATGAAATATTTTTTTCATCCTGTTGGCTGGGGGAGCAGGGATTTGGTGGGGATGGGTTCCAAATTTGAAATCAATTCAGTCCTTGCAGTGCCCCACCCCTGAGTCTGTCAGGACATATTGTCCTGAAAATATCTCTGAGAGGTGTGAAATGACCTGTTCTCCCTTATTTGTTTTGCTCATTGTTTTATGGTAGGAAGGTGGGAAAGAGGGTGGGTATGAAACCCATGACAAACATTGCTGTTTGCTGAAATGAAGTATATGCAGGGGGGGATGGGCAGGTCTGGAAGAGACACAAAGCCAAGTTGAAGGCAGGGAAAAGAGTACGGGAGAGAAAATTAAGGCAAGAGAGAAAGAAATGATATAATATTATAAATGTTCCCCATTAATGATGCTGAATTTTAACAACAAAACATTAAAGAGATTTTCAGAAGCAGTTAGCTCCATTTTGAGATGCCCTAGTTAAGTGTTTAATGATGCAGATAGCCCCCCTCTGGGATATACAGAAGTCTCTAATTGCCCAATTTCTCCAGGAAAGCTATTATATATCTTGTGTCAATCCATATAAGCACACATCATGGATGTGTTCTGCTGACAGCAATGGATGGTTCTGATGTAAATGTTCCCAATGTATCGTTCAGAACAGTGAAACAGCCCACAACTATAATTATACAGAAGGCTTTTCTCCAAATGAACGTCACGCTCCTGGATGAGCTGGATGGAATCACTTACGCTCCACCGCAGAGCACAAGATCCTACTTTCCCCCAGTACTGGAAGCGGCTGTTTGCTGAGACAGCGGGGAAGAGAAAGAAAGAGGTGTTCAGGAAACATACACAGAGGTGTGGGGGTGGGGAAGGTTGTAAATTGGATAAATTGGAGCATATTTGTGGTTATTCTTTTTTCAGTCAGGAGTCCAGTCCCTTCTATAGCCCCAAGTGAAAAGTGGGATGAAAAAGAAACACCTGCAAAAGGGGTATTCTTTTACAGAGGAGATATTAAAGAACTCTATCTCAAAACATTTTTACTATTTCAATTGGTTAAAGAAATTAATTGCAGTTGACAGCATCCCTTTAATGGCAGGACCACTTGTAGGTGTGTATTATTTTTTGTTTTGTTTCCTATGGGAACAGATTTACCCAATTGTTTAAAGTGTCAGTCAGATTTTCCTTCTCTCCCCAGAGGAATACTTTGGAACTTGCTCAGATGAATAGGCAAAAGAATAGAAGTTTCAAGTATAATTAAATTCTTGAAAGTTTCCTGAAAATCGATGGAAGACAGACAAATCAATGCCCATGCTGTGGAAAGGACTTGGTCATTATGTACTACCATACCAAACAAGTCATAATGAGGTGGCTTGGGCTTATCTAACAGTCCACCACTACCAGAGGCAAAGGTCCTGCTCTCCCTTCCTTTTCTGTCTTTAAGCTGTGTGTTGTCTCCTCTTACTTTTTGCCAGCTCTTGCACCTATGGGATGTCCCCATGAGCACATCTGGTTGAATCTGAAGTTCAGTGGCAGCCTAGACCGATCCAACTGCTGCCTTTGGTCTTACTTTCTGTCCCTTTATATTTAAATTTAAATACATTTATAAATACTCTTTCACTTCCCTTTGCCTGGGCAATATGTTCCTGCCCCTCCTTTGTCCCAGTCCTGATGCTTTGTCATGTCCTTTGCCGAGTCATTTCAGTGTGATAACTTGGTGGAAAAAGAAAAAAAAAGTGAATAGTTTTCTATTATTTGTGCTGATACTTTTGCACTGAGTCAGCCCAGCAAAACATCCGATGAGCAGTAGAGAGACTGCAAGGGAGGGTGGAAGGGACTTGGGAGAGGAGAGGACAACTGCCACCCTTCACTGCTAGTTTGGAAGAGGGGAGATGGAGGCCTTCCTTCCTTGGTGCTTGTGAGCTGCTCACTCTGCTCAGCCACTGACTCATCTCGTGTTACGTCATTTTTGGTCATTTGGTGGCAGGCAGCTGGCCCCTGGTCAGCTTGTGTGCTGCTTCCACTTAGTTACAGTGTGTGATTTGCTTGTCATACGAGGAGTGTCACGTGGACCACAGGGGAAAGCAAAGTTGTTGTGATGGGGAAAGGAAATCCAGCTCCACTTCATCCACTGCTCAGTCAGACACTTGTTTTAATATTGATTGTGATGAACACAAAATGAGGCCTGGCTCAACAGAAATTTTTAGCAGTGGAGACGCCTAGAAATCAGAAAGCAGATGTGCTGTGCATGGACAGGTATGACCCATGGTCATATGTCTATTTCGCTGAAGTGCTAACTTCATTTCCTGTATGTAATGGGGGGAGGAAAAAAAAAGTGGATTCAAGAGGAAGTTTACTGAAGAAAAAGTACTTGTTTGGTGAACGGAGATAAGGATAAAACTGTATGAACCATGTTAATCAAGAATTAGTAACGTGGGCATCTGACCTTCACTGAAGTACGCAGTACTGACCGGCTAAATGATGGTGTTTTGCATCAAGCAGTGATGAATGCAAGGTTCTTCACAGGAAAACAAAACATCAAACAAACTTGGAATTCATTCTACTTTTTGAGTAGTGTACTTTGCTAATACATGATGTAAGACTGAGGAAAATCATTTCCTCGCTCCATCATGGGAATGTTTGATGTGCTCCAAGACTGATGACACTGGAAAAACTGAGGGTTTTTCCTCACGTAACTGCTTTCCCGGCCCTTTCTTTTGGTTGGCTCATGTTCTGTGTCAGCTTCCCAGAATGAAAGACTTTTTTCTTTCCTTCACTCAAATCAGAACAAAGAGAAATGTTAAATAGGGTTAAAATACCACACTGATGACTGCACACAATGTTTGCATTGTTTTTTTTTCAGTTTAAATGGTAAGATTTTTGAAGTAGTCTCCCTTCGGCTTTGGAAGCAGTCACTGATCAGGGAAACATGGCCAATTCTCAAAACTTCTGGGTTTTGATTGCATTTTTAAGGAGAATTCTCATTTTATTCTGTATTCTGCTGGAATAAATTAAAATATCCATAGACTCTCATTTCTATGCAAAGCAATGAAGCTCTGTGGTAAGAAGCAAAAAGCAGAAATTGAAAAATGACCAAAAAAAATCCAGACTACATGGTTAAGCTATTTCAGATCATTAAATTCTAAACAACTGTGTTTCTAATGCTTCAAAACAGAAAAAAAGTCACCCCAGTCAAGAGATATGGTTTTAACATGGGGTGGATACATATAAATACAACATTGATTCTGGCCTGCAGAGCTTGCCATGAAGAAGCTTTCTTCCTTCCTCTTGTCTTCTTAATTTGTCTACTGCAGAGAAGCAGCACATGTTACACTTTGTTGGAAGGCTGTACAACTAGTCACCTTGGTCTTTCAAAAGCAAGAGACATTTAAAATTTTTTTGGACCTGCTTAAATTGATCACATTGTTGTAATGAAAACCTCTCTTTATATTTTTGGATTCCTTTAGAAAGTGTTTCTGATGTGCATTCTCAGTCTTACTCTTCCTGCCAACTTCTATGAAATGTAATCTCCAGTTTAACCAAAACCTTGTTTAAGGAAATAAAGCATCTGACAAAACGAATGACTGGTGCTGGTAAGACTCTAAAACATTGGCTCACTGTCCAAGCAGCGGTACAGGGAAAGGCAACTTCTGAAAAACAGCAAAAGGAGGAAAACAAAAATGGTCAGGAAAACAGGTAGAAAACTCTCAGCACTGTGTGCTCTTGACACTAAACCATATCACCCAAGGATTCGTCCAACCTGGCCTTGAACACAACTTCCCTGGGCAACCCATTCCAGGGCCTCACCACCCTAACAGGAAAGAACTTCCTCCTTATATCCGATCTAAATTTCTCCTGTTTAAGTTTTAACCCGTTTCCCCTTGTCCTGTCACTACAGTCCCTCCGAGTGAATGAAGAGCCCCCCCCCCCCCCCCCATCATCCCTATAGGCCCCCTTCAGATACTGGAAGGCTGCTATGAGGTCTCCACGCAGCCTTCTCTTCTCCAGGCTGAATAGCCCCAACTTTCTCAGCCTATCTTCATACGCTACAGTTTGCTAGTTCGTGTTTATTTAATCACTTACATATTTTGTCTGATAATGCTTCCAGCACAGTCAAGCAGATTCTGCCATGAAGCATGGTAACAGATGTTCTATATATGTAAGGTGATGTGTCATCTCAGCAAATTAGGTCCCCTGTTGTTTTAAGTCTTGCCCGTACAACACCTCCACACTGCAGAGAAAGAGAGCAGCTTTCAATGGCAATAGCTCTTTTGTTAATATTTTCTTAACAAAAAGATAATCTGTCTTCTTTTTTTTGTAACTAAGTAATGTTGCTGCAACATACACATCTACTCCATGAAATCAACCTGGCTCACAAATAAGAAATCAAAAGAGTAGATACCGTAACAAATGATCCTACAAAGTTTTATGAAGGGAGAATATTTTTCCTACTGTGTCTATGGTTTAATCTATTCAGTGCCTCAAGCCAATGTTTATTAGTGTTGTGAATAAACAATAACAAATGCTTTCAAGAACAATGTTGAATTGTGTGAAATATTAGCTGTATAAAGTCTTTTTTGTAGGGGAGTTTCCAAATAATTTTAAAAACAACTTCAAAGAGGTGTTGATAGTGTTTGTAATGTTTGCAGAAAGACATCACTAACACTCTAAATTCCAGTGCAGTACTGGTACTGATTAGGGACTACAACACCCTGTCATGTGAAAAGCACAATGTGGGGCATTAGATGATCCTGTTGGAATCAAAGCAGATTCACTACTGAAAGTAAAAGTGCGTTTGTTCTCTGAGCATGACTTTTAGAATTATTTTTTCAGGCACGCCTCAAATTCCTTTATGTATTTCTCTCAACTGATATGGCTGAAGTTCACTTCCCAACCATAACATCTTAAAACCCAAGGGGAAGGCTGTGAAATGAGACAGCAGCTCAGGCAAGGTACTGGTATTGTTTACCAATGGTTTGCTTCTGTAGAGTGTTTCTGAAATTAGCCTGAGTGCTACCTTTAAGATAAGCCAACAATGGCATTTCTACATAAACTGTTTGCTCTATTCACAATTGTCTAAAATATTTCATAATCTCAGGAGTGAACAGTGCCATTTGACATCATAAAGTCATTAATATTGTCAAAGTGCTGAAGGCAGTATGCTAATAAAAGGCTAGTGAAGACTAAAAACGCTTGTCAGTGAACTACGAAATTTGTCAGCAGCCTTCTGCTGGCACATACTGACGCTGGGTTAATGAAGATAGAATTAAAAGTTATTAGCTGTTTATAAAGAACATTTCAAAGAACAAAAAATACTGTGATATCTGAGTTATGAGACAGCAGGCAAACTGTTGGCAACAGGTACTACATGAGGGAAGGAATAATGCAGCAGCATCTATTACATGTGGGGGGAAATGTAAGCCAATGCATCTGCATGAGAGATGGCATAGGAAACTGGTTTTACATTCTGCTGCCCACTTGCCAAAGGACTACTCCTTTATACCTTGCAGAGGGAGACACCCCTCTTTTTTTTCCCATGAGGCAATAACATTTTCCAAATGATTCTTGTGTATCAATAATACGGATTGTAGGCTCACCAGGAGTGTCTACCAATCTTCTCTGTATAATTTGGTTACCAAAGTAATTAATTTCCTCCAAGGAAGGGGAGTATCCAGTGATGGTCAATCTGTTTCATGGTTACTTTGTTATCAGGCACTGTTTAGGGATAAATAATTAGCTTGTCATACTAAATTAAAGGGATAAATATTCCCTTCCAAAATTAGAAATGGAATTATGAAAATGGAACACATATTGCCTATGTATGAGAGCTCAGTTGCATCCTCACACTGTTTCTGGTGTCTCTGCTAGGACAACATTCAACTGTGAGAAATGCGGGCTGACTGTAATATATATCTAAACTTCTTCCAGAAATTTCTTCAGTATGCTTTGGGGTTTTTTGAACTGAGGATTCAATTCTACTGCATGTCCCAAAAATTAGTCCATTCTTTGTTGGTTTAAACTGAAAACCTTCCTAAAAGATGTGCCAAAGTAAACGCCTTGTTAGAGCTGTGCATGGCTGCTTATCTCCAGCAGTACACAGAATCATTTAGGTTGGAAAAGACCTTTTAAGATCAAATCCAATTGTAAACCCAGCACTGCTAGGTTCACTACTGAACCATGTTCCTAAGTGACATATCTACACATCTTTTAAATACCTCCAGGGATGGTGACTCAGTCACTTCCCTGGGCAACCTGTTCCAATGCTTGACAGCCCTTTTGGGATGCCCTTTGGATTGGACATCCAGTCTAAACCTTCCCTGGCACAACTTTAGGCCATTTCCTCTGATCCTATCTCTTGTTATGTGGGAGAAGAGATCGACCCTCCCCTCATACAACCTGTTTTTAGGTAGTAGAGAGTGATAAGGTCTCCCCTGAGCCTCCTTTTCTCCAGCCTAAACAATCCCAGTTCCATCAGCTGCTTCTCACAGGACTTGTGCTCTAGACCCTTCACCAGCTTGACCTCTTTGAATGCACAGGGACACACCACAGTAGGCAGAAAGAACAGCAAGCAGTTTTGAGAGTAGCTGTGGGAAGCCTCCCTCCCTGGGCTTCCTGCCACCAGTGCCATTCTTCACCAGGATAATACTGTGCAATAACGGCTTAGTGCAGGACTGCGTTTCTGAAAAGGTTTTCCTTAGCGGCTTGTACCTTTCTGGCCTGTGCCTCATGAAGTCAGGACAGAGTACAGGTCCGTACAAACACACCGGTGTTGGTGGACAAGCCTGTAACCGAGCATGCCACTGCTAAAGCAGTGGAACGTTTGCGTGTACGGGCATTAGTAGGGACATCCACCTGGTGGCCATCTCACCAGTGCAGCCGAGGGCTTTGGGTGAGTGAGACAGGCACATGTGGTTTTCATGGCTGAGCAGGGAGCAGCGGAGGACAACGCACCGCCTGGCTGCATGGATCGGGGGCTGTAGCCTCAGGCCTAACAGACACACAAGCTGCGGCCGCGGCCGTCCCAGCCCGCGGGGACAGGTAGGAGGGAACGGCAGGGCCGTCTCGGGGTACGGCGGGTCCCGGCTCAGACACCTCGGGCCCGCTGAAACAGCTACTGCCGCCTTCGCGGCAAGCCCGCCGGTTCTGCCTTCACCTCGCCCCGGGCCCTGCCGGCGCTCTCGCACCACCCCCTCCCGCCGGGGCCGCTCGCAAGGCATGCTGGGGCTTGTAGTCCCTCCTACGGTCCTCCCGCCTCCGGAGCGCCTTCACGGAAGCTGCCGAGAGAAACTACAACTCCCAGCAGGCGGAGGGGGGCTCCCCGAGCGTCCGCGGCCGAGCCAGCACGGGGAGGGAGGCCGGTCCCGCTAGGTCGTGTCGCGCGGGCGAGTACCGGAACGGGTCGGCTCCGCCCGGGGCTGACGGCAGGCATCGCTCGCGCCTGTGTGCGCGCGTGCCGGGGGCGGCGAGGGCTCAGGCGGCGGGAGCGGGGCTCCAGCGCAGGCACCGCGCCCGGCCCGGACTCCTGTACCCGCAGGGCTGGCCGCTACCCCAGTGGCGGAGGCGGCGATGGGGGACAGTTAGTACTGTCGCCACGCTCCACCAGCCGGAGGGAGGGCTGGGCTCGGCTGCATCGACGGCGCGGCGTCCCCAGCGCTGCTGGTGCGGGTGACCTGCCTGCCCCCTCGGCAGGAAGCAGCTGACTGACGGACCGACCGCGGCAGGGGGTGTCCGCCTGTGTGGTCCCGTCCCTCGCCGCCTCCTCCCGCGGGCGGCCGCCGCTGCGGTGGTTGCCGCCTCTCCCTGAAGATGAGGAGGCGGCAGCTGCTGATTCTGGGTCTGGCTGCTGGGGAGAAGCCTGGATAGAGACTCTGGAGAAAGCGGGGAGAGAAAGCCGCCGCTCTCCAGCTAGCGGAGGCGAGCCGGGCGTTTTCCTCACCTTGCTCCGGCCGAAAGCCCAGCCGAACCAGAGACGCCGGCGGGAAGCCGCTCCTGTGCGCCGGGGCGGGGGCAGGATGCGGGGGGGGACCCGGCACCGCCGCGGGCCGTGAGCGAGAGCCTGCGCTGCCGCAGCGTGCGACCGCCCGCGGCGGCCGTGAGGCGGGAGGCGAGGATGGTGACGGGCGGGAGAAGTTCCGCAGAGATCTCCCACCGGCGGCGAAGCCTCCCTGTCCTCTCCGTTCCCCAACGTCCCTTCCGCACGGCCGCCCGCCCCGAGGGGATGAGGCGCTGGGGAGCATGAGGCGGCGGCTGGGACCTGTTGTGTAGGGGAGGCGGGGGTTAAGCGCGGCGGCGCGGAGCGTGAGGCGGGGGAGCGGCTCTGCGGGGAGGGGGCAGAGGATGAGGACCTGCTCTCCGGGCGCTGCTGTCTGTCGGGGACCGGCTCTGCCCCGCGCTGCCTCGGGTTCGGGAGACTCCCCTGCGGCGGAGCTGTGACAGGGAGGCGCGCCCGCGGCGGGGAGACCCGCGACCCCGGCTCTGCGGCGAGCAGCGGCCGCTTCGCCCTGAACTAACTGCGGCGGCAGGGAGAAGAGCGCTTGAAGTGTCTCGGAAGCTGGAGTTGCAGCCTGGCTCCTTTCTCCCCCCACTTCGTTTTTTCCTCCTCTTTACTGATCTGTTCCGCGCCTTTCTTGAGGGAACGTTTTAGGAATGGTCATTTTTAGCAGTGAAATCTGCTGCGCGAAGGAGGATTATAACAAATCTCTATGAATGCTAAACTCGATTGCTAAACCTTGCCTTGACCAACCTTCTGACCCTCGGAGAGCTCTCTCAGGGTGCGCGTGGGAGGGAAAGAACAATCTTCCCATTTGAAAATAAACTTGGAAAAAAAAAAGACTAATTTTTTTTTTTTGGACAGACTAACTGCTTTATAATTCTTTTTTTTTTTTTTAATTTCCTTTTTCTTGTTTTGTGATAAGTTGTTTTAAAAAGGATTGTCTTACATGGTGGTTTTGTAACTGATGGAGGAAGCTGAAGGAAGGATCCCTGTCAAGCGTTTCTGATGTGACAGCTTTGGTTTCTGAGGAGTTAAGTGGTGTTTGCATGATACACCTATTGCTAGCCTGGTAGAGACTCTTTTTTCATCTTTTTATTTGCTTTTTTTAATTAACTGGGGCTGGTGGAGAGGGCTGTCTTGGTCGGAAGACTGTTTGCACACATTTATATATTGTATATATTTTTGGTGGGGTTCTCCCCACATTTTACTCTCCCTTGATGACTCCTGGAGGTAGTAGTGGGCCCATGAAAGACTGTGAATACAGTCAGATCAGCACACACAGCTCTTCGTCTCCCATGGAGTCTCCCCATAAGAAAAAGAAATCGGTTCCCAAGAGAAAATGGGAGGTTTTTCCTGGAAGAAACAAATTCTTCTGCAATGGGAGGATAATGATGGCTCGACAGACTGGAGTCTTCTATCTGACTCTTGTTCTCATCTTGGTCACCAGTGGACTCTTCTTTGCATTTGAGTAAGTGACATTAAAGTCTTTGTATCTTCCTTATCTTTCTCTAGTTACCTGTTTTCTGACTGAAAGGAAACTAACCATGTTTAGCCAGATATCATGGAGAATGCTGACTGAATTCAGCTAATGTTGGTTTATATAACTGAAAATATTACCTGATAAGATGCTGGGGGCATAGGATCCAGTTTTGGTTATCACACTGTGGAAAACTGATGTTTGTGGATTAAGGTTGTAGGGTTTTCATGCCACGGGTTTCCAGCTCTTGCTGATGTTGCAAGAAGAGTGTAAAACAGCAGGTTTGGGATGGTCGGGAAGTTATGTACCTTCTTGTCTGTGAGTTACTCTGCTGAGAATCAAAACTGGCAGGTGCAAAAATACTTTTGTAACCTTTTGTAACAGAAAATGCAAGGAAAGCGGTATCTTTCATCAGTTCATGGGTTAGGCATGCTTTTAACTGAAAATGAAAACCAAAACCCAATAAAAAACTAAAACCAAAACCAAGAGCATATACCTAGCATGTGCAGTTTTGCATATACCTAGCTTTCCGCCGCTAGGTAACAGCATTACTTTCTGTTTGTGATTATAACTTGTATGTGAGTTTGGTCTTAGTTTAAGTTGTATCTGTTTTGGAAGTTTGGGCTTTTCTTTAAGCAAGCTTTTGATGTCCTCCTAGGGCTTTTTTCTCTGTTGCTCTGAATCTTCTGGAGTCCTTTTCATTTATATAAAGTGGACACACGGTGACAGCAGATCAGATATACTGATTTTTGCACTTATGTTGGAATGGCTAAATGAAATATGTATGGCAAGAAAGAATTAGGCACATGATATGGACAATATGCTTCGACTTACTTTTTTTAAAGAGTTCCCAGATGCTCACACTGCAAAAACACTGGCTGTAGTAATAATTGAATTATTTTTAAAGTGTTAATGCTGTTTTACCTGTTCTAAACTATAGTAGCTTGGCTTGTGGCAGGAAAAAAAATCTTCAAATTATGTATTAACAGCTCTTACTATTTTCTTGACTAGAAACTATTATGTATAAGTAAGCTTCAGTGCTGCTTTCAGAAATTATGTTCACTTTGATGAGTGATACAGTTGAATGACAAAAGTCATTCATTACTTGGTGTCTTCCAGGAAGATGCCAGTGCTGTTAGCAAACCATAAATTGCACCAGTTAAATGCAGACCATGTTAACATACTGATAGTAGTAAAGAAGGTAAGAATGCTCAGCAGGTGACCAGTTGCTGAATATATCTGTGAGCTCAGCAAATGAATTGTCTTCAGTGGGCTTCAGGTTACTTTAGCGTGATGCTTTAATTGTGAATCTTATGCAGACGTTACAAAGCTGCTTGAATATGCTTTGAGTAGCTGAAATAACAGTCAATATGATATCCATATACTGCAAATGTGTTTACTTTCCTGGTTTTAAAGGGGTGTTAAAGGTGTAACCTGATAGTATTGCATCAGGACTGCGTGCTACTCTATTCTGTGTGTCATGATTAGGCTTAATTTTGGAAAGCTTTTGGGTGGGAGCTGATATCTGCATCTCTGTGCAGCCTCATCACCTTCAGCAGAGCCTCTGAAGGGAAGTGCTGGACTGCCTGCAAATACCAGAGTGTAAATGTGAGATCAAAACTGTAATGTTTTATAATCATGATTGTGAAACTTATTTATTAAGCTACAGTTTATAGCTTATTTAGATGTCTTAACACTTGGCTGCTTCAGAGAGAAATATTCTCTGCAGCTGCATGATTCAGAACTGCAAAAGCAGGATGAGCTTCTAGCAGTTCATCACCTTCCAATTTCATTACTACTGTGAATTATGTGTACCTACCAAAGTTGAACACTACAGCTTCTGTCATGTCTTTGAGCTTATTTGGAGTGATGGACGACATCTTTAGTCAAGCTGCAGCATTTTTTTATATATAATTGGTGCTTATTCTAACTGGCAGTCTTGAAGCAGGGAAAAATCTTCAGCTTTATGTAACTATATAAATTCTGTGTGTGTGTGTGTTTGCTGGTCTTGAGTCATTCTTGTATCACTTGCACTCTCCTTTTAAGGAAAATCAAAGTAGAGGGTGGCAATGATAATTTATTTTTATAATAATAAGGTAGGCTTTGTTTTTTAAAAAGCACTTGCACTGGAAAATTATTACTCATCCTCTGGAGGCTAATTAAAAAAAACAAACCCTAAGACTATGAGAATGGTGTTGAGCACATTTGTGATGTTTGGACTGCAGAAGGTTGTTGATTTTACAATGAAAAGGGATTTAGAATGAAAACAGGTAATCTCTGACTAAAAAGTGTTCTCTTGAAGCAGTTTCCAAGTAATAATCTGAAGTTACTATTTATTGATCAGTTGATGGCATCTCGAGGAGTTAGTGTCACTTCCATTATTTGGCTGACTTGGTTATGGTGCTCCTCGTTAACCACCAGAATGACAGAAATGTGTTTCAGTTGTTTGTGTACAGGTGGGTCAAAGTGATTTTTAAATGGGCATGTGGAGTGTCTGAACTGTAAGGTCAAACTGTCATTGAAGAGGAAAGACACCCTGTATGCTCTTGCAATTGTTTGGTCTTTTTGCTACAGGTGAAATAAATGATTTTGTTCCTTTGGTTTCGGAAACTGGAAGATAGGTACTCATCACATTCCCAGTCATTCCCCGGTTGCAGCCTGTGAAGTGGGGGTGTAGGAAGGGTAGGACTTTGACAGCTAATTCCTGGGGAAGCATCATGCTAACATAAACAGTTGTCTTTTACTCTTTTGGCTTCATTCATTCTTCCAACATGATTTCGCCCCGACCCTCCTTTTATTTTACTGTTGACACCCGTTCATCCAGAGCTACATCTCAGGTGCTATGGAATCCTGTCCAGGGGAGAAATACATGTCTCTGAGTCAACAAACCCTAGTTCTCCAAAAGCAAACAATATGTCATGCATCTTGACCTGTATAGCTTTTGACATTGAACCATGCCTTTGCAGTCTTTTGTATTTATACTCCTGTGCTTTTTCCTGCCTACTTTTCCCAGTACCTACTGTTGGTTGGTTTTATTCCTTTCTCTCTGTTGACTTTTATCTCTCATATACTCCAAATACATCACCATTTCTCCCTTTTGTCATTTCACTGTTATTTTCATTTTTGAAGAGGTAAGCCAGAATTTGCTTAAAAGAAAACAACAATCTAGGAGCTTTCAAGCTGGTAAAATATTTATAATTCCTGCCTCCCTGCTTTTCCAGAGGTAGAGAATGGAAATAACAAGCAGTTTTATTTCTGTAACTTATCTATTAAACGTAACATGAATTATTGCAAGAACTTCTGGGTCCCAAGAGGGATGCTGTGCTTGAGGTATTCTTAAAAATGCCTATTTCAAAATGCTCAAGATGAGGCACTGCAAATTATTTACTTTGTCTTTAAAATTTGGGTATGTTATTTTGGAAATATATTTCCTAACTCTAACCCTATGATATTCAGCCTTTTTTCTTTTTTTCTTGCAAATTTGGCTTTGTGTTGCACTTCCTTTTTTTTCCTTTGCCTTGCCTCATTACACAGACATATATATTTTTTAAACTATTCAGTGCTCATGTAAAGTAGCTGCATGAAAGCTTGGAAAACAAATTCCTTTCCCCAGAGCAAAGACAACATCCATAACTGACGGGCAGATCTCGCTGCTGTACTTAGCCAGTTCAACCGCTGTATTTACATAATTTAAGTCCTTTATTGGTGCAATAGAGAGGCAAAACTAAGGCACTTCGTACTGCTTTTATGCAGCTAGGTATGCATAGTCAAAAGAGAAAAGAACCCTTTATTTCCATGGTCATCTGGAGTCCTATTTTTGTAGGTTACAGTAAAGCAAAATGGAGGCTGAATGACATATTTAACACAGCAGGATATGTAAAACAAACATCTTGATGTTAAATGGCAAATCTTAGATGAATGCACAAGCTTCACAGGTTCCAGAGCAGTGGTAGATGAGTTTGGCTGCATTACTACTGTGAGTTAACGCTGCTTCTGTGTGCCAGCTCCCTTTTTCTTGGACCTCATGGTGCAGGTAGCACGAGAGAACATGTCTGCACCTGAGCTGCTTCAGGTCAGGCAGGCAAATTAAACTTCCCATAAAAGGTGGGTTTAAGTGAAGATGCCAACTGAACTGAATTGACTCAGGCACAGTCATGTTTTCTTCTATCCAACTCAGTTGCAGGGTGAGTGGTTCTGGAAGAAAGTTGGAGCAGATGGTGGGATGCCGGAAGGGCTGATGCAGTGCAGCTTTTTTCTCTGTAAATGTGAGTCAGAGCCCTATCACTTCTGATACCATTTAACACTTGCACTGATTCAACAAACTGGAGGGTTTGGGGTTTGGTTTTTTTTTGAGCTGGTTAACGCTTAATTTTTGTGTAATTGCACTGTCTTTCAAAAAGGATGCTGGAAAATTATTTAAACTGAGATTGTCCATGTGCATGTGCATACAAATCACTGCTTTCTGTCTGCTCTTGCAGTCACTGGCAACCTGCTCCATGCCTCCCACCCCGAAAACCAGTGTGACTGGAGGACATTTATGAGTCACGCTATCGGGTGCAGTGTAGATTGTTCAGTATTGAACTTCTATAGCACGTACTATGGCAAAGTGGTGTAACTCACTGCTCACTGTGACAAACCTCTATGTGTAAACACTTAAGTCAATAAGCTGAGCATCTTCACTGTGGTATCAACAATTGTCATCGTCTTAAGGCGAATGTTCTGTGGTCTTGAAAGAGGTGGATTCTTAATGTGAGGTCCTATGCCAATTAGGTGGAATGTTCTTAATCTGATAAGCCTCCTTTATCTTTCTTCCTCTGCTCTTAGGACGAGTAGCTTACTTGCATCTTTTGATGTCCTTACACAACGAGTTCCTTAGCAGGAAGTGCTATCAGTGTGACTTCAGGTATTAAAGGCTGCTATAAACATTTCCTGCTGAAGATGTCAAAATGGATTTCAAAGCAAAAATTGTGGCATATAAACTGGAATGATCA